TTTACTGATTTAACGCAGACATAAGATGCTGCCACATCTTTACTACCCTGTCACTGCTTTGAACGATGGGAAACCCAAACGGCCTGTAACATTAAGCACACCACTACAGGCTGACTGTCCTCCAACGCTTTCCAATCCCACAGAGATTTACGAGCAGAACCAGATCCATTAATCCATTGTTGATTTGCTGTAGCTGCCCTGCAGGGTTTTTGGGATCAGATATCATACAGTGCAGAAACTCACCACGTTGCGCAGCAGGAAAACTGTAACACCAAAACCCATGCCAAAACACTATGACAAGCATTAGGGAATTAAAAACTAGCCCATGTTTTTCTTTTTTTTTTTTAATTCATAGCACATTTGAAATATGTTCTAACAGTCTAATTCACTCACAACCTGACAGATATATGAACTTTGACAGAAAACACAGGCCACTTACATCAAAAATTACAATGTAAACCAGAGTGACAATTCCTAGGGGTCTCAGAACCTGTGAGTCAGGTTGGGTACACAATGTGATAATGACCACGGCTGCAGGGAAATCTCATCAGCTCCCTGCAATCAATTTAACAGTGTTTACAAAGCCATGGGCTGGGGTTGTGCTCTGGGACAGAGCACCGGTCACCTGGTGCTCCACTAGATCCCCCAGCTAAGCTGGCCTCTCCTGGGTAAACCTCCATAAAGCCCCCTGGTGTCTGACACAACCAGGTCCTTCAAATACAGCTCTCAGACAGAGGATTAGGTAATCTCACCATGATACTGTCTTTTTCTCTGTTTCTATCACCTTCCCATCCGCATTGTTACCTTCTCTCTTCCCCTGCATTCTCATCCCTCATATCCTCTCTCCCTCCCTGCTCCCTCTCACTCTCTCTGGCTCTCTGGCCTGTTGAAGTGCTTGTTCTACTCAGGGCACATCCATCCTCAGGGGTCCTTACGCTCTTAAGTGCCTCCAGAAAAGGTTAGTTGGCAGGTAATTGTCCAACTGTGGTCGGGCTTATCTTAATTGTGGGTGCTTCAGTGCAAGCCACACTTCTTTTGATGAAGAGACTTACAGTATGTGGAATAAAGGGTGAAGTAAGGATGATGGGGGGGGGGGGGGTCAGGGAGTTAGTGTGCCTTTTTTCCCCTCTTTATACTTTTGTTTTGATGTATTACTGACTAGCTTTCATTGAAAAAACTCAATACTCAATAAAGTTTTTCCTAATTGTCCTGCACATGCATAGAAGAAAAAACCAATGCTGACCTCATGATGTTAAAATCCAAATGACTTGCTCCTCAGCAACTCCAAATCTATACTTCTATTAGCCATCTGATCATATATATTTATGTCAATAAGAAGCTTTGGGGGGTTAGTGTTTGCATTGCCCCAGTCAAAGGTCATGACTGACCGATAAAATATTTCTAGAGCACCATCAATAACTCGGACATGCAGACTAATACAGTATGGGATTGTGGGAAGGGGGAGGAGGCCTGCTGCCCTCCCTGCAAGCAGAATGGATGGGTAAGAGGCCAAAAGGTTATTTGACAGACTTCGGCCCCCTGCCCTAGCACCCTCTCATATGTGCATTTGATAGCGACAGGGGCAATTATAAAGGTATACTTCAGACAGGTCAAATGGGAGAGGGCAAAGTGCAGAACCTTTGAAGCACTGGCTGGAGTCAAAGGTTAGGATGGACATAGGACATCATAACATGCTACTGGATAGGGGGGTAATGGAAAAGGAGCTATAAAGATGCAGACTGATGAGAAGAGAAAAAAACTGAGGAATCTTTTAATCATTTATTATGTTTTTATAGAAAAAAAATAATAAGAGCTGCTCATGGTCAGAGGCTCAAATTTTGGCATTGATATCTGTTTCTCAAACTATTAGTTTGGTGTGTTTTCTTGGCTATACACTGTGGGATGTCGGGAGCAGGCTTGGTAACTATTAAATATGAATATCCCAAGGTCAGGGAAAGTCGTAGCATGCATTTAGCACCAGTGACCAAAGCCAAATGTAAAGGTCAAAGTGGAATTGCCCGAGTCGGAGCAATACAACGTCTGCCCATCCACATTTATGCATCCCACTGGCAGTGATTTATGGAGGGAGATAAGCACACGTATAGGAAGAAAACAGTCTCTTTCTGCTATCCCATCAGACCGGGTAAATACACTACTCACTCATATCAATCACCATGTCAGAGGGAATCGCCACTGTATGCTTCCTGCTCAGATTAAAAACTGCCTTTGTCTTGCTCTGCCTGTTCCCTCCAGCACTTGGGAGCACACTGGTGGTATTGTTGCTATTTCACAGACTCTATATTAGCATTTCAAACGGCTGTGGTACACAAGAAGTAAGTATGTTCCAGTCAGTGGTATGCTTTAGCTATGTGTCATCTCTCATAGATAGATTCCATACTGCAACAATCATACTCTGGATGTTCGAAGTTGTTAATTTATTGGAAAAATACAAAAACTTTTTTATTTCTAGGCCTTGTAGGGACATCTATGAAATTTTATTCCTTTAGGTTTTACATGTGTTTGTTTTGCATGAGAAAAAACAGTTTTTCTTTGATCAAAAATCAGTGCATTTAAAAAAACCTTCAGTTTGGAGCAGACAAATGCCTACAACACAAATTGTTTAAAATCAGTTTCCTGTCCTCTGTAGTACAAAGTTTCTACGCTGGAGCCTGGAAACGTGTGAAGCATTTCGCAAGAGCAGCCGCTCTGGGGGAGCCCTGCCTGGGACAGCTATTAATTCTAAACCCGGGCTCAAGAATTTTTGTAGGCCTCTCTTGAACATGAACATGTTTCTTGCGTCCCTTTGACTCCTTAAATGTGAAAACCAGCCCGTCACTGGTGCACCACAGGCTTTGCGAAGTACCCCCAAGTGGTTCAGTTTCGAGCCAGAGAAAAGTCCAGCAAGAAAACAAGCTTTTGAACTACTGGCCAAGGCGGAAACATGGTCTGCTGAGCTGCTTTTTATCCTGAACCATTAAGAACAAATTTTCCTTTCCTTCAGTAGCAATAAATGTGTGCTTTTCTTTTCTTATATATATATATATATATATATATATATGTATTGTTTTTTCCATGGTTAGATCAAAGGGTGATAATGTGTGACATAGGGGTGTCAATCTACCCTTTACAATACAATTCGATCAGATACAAATCTCTACAGCTATCTACCATTCAGAGACGATTCTTATAAAATACAGAATGATTTGGTGGGATTCAATACGATTCGATTTGAGGTATATACAGTACAAACAAACATTCTATCATTATGTATACAATGTGAAGTCTTTATCACATACCCATGACCAGGTGTCTCACTTTGACAGGTAGTTGGACAAGAAATACATTTTGTTACCAACACAGAAATCATAGCTTTTCTGTAGGCTACATCACACTTTGTGGGCTTTGTAAAGCCATGGATACACTTAAAACAGAGTACTTAACTCCTCTTACAGGCAAACATTAAAGCCAATTTAACTATAAAGAATGAAATAATGAAACTCTTCAATCATTTTTTCTCCTTTCATAATTTTCTGAATGTTACATATGAATAGCACATGATGTCAGACATTAAGATCTGTTACCAGATGCACCAATGTATATTACCTGACAGAGTCCAGCTCTCCTTCAGTTGGCATCTCAACTTGCATGAGACTTAAGTATGACAAAAACCTCCTTAATGAAAGAAAAACATGGATGCCAAAATACAGAATGTATCCCTTCTTGAAATCATATCACTTTCATATTGTCATATGGGGTCAGCTTTGAGGATCCGAATATAACCATATTAATATTAGCTATAACATTTCCCTATACTCGACTCGTTGCACCAGTCGAGTATTCCTCTCTTCTCCTGTGCGAACAACAGTTCTAAAGACCGTTTATATACAGGAGTAAGTTCTGTACAATCTGTCACATTCATCTCTATTTCCCATTCACCACAGGGCATTTGAACTACATCAGAATCTATTAACACCATGTCGATTCAGCCCCACCGACAATACAAATCATGATAAGATGGAAAAGTGACTCCATAAACACCCTCGCTTATATATCACATCATACAAGCTGGGAAGGAAGGCAGATCCACTTGTGATCTATGGGATCATCTATTTATATGGATGGGCTAAAGATATGGATATCATTAAATCTCTTCCTGTCTTTACCTCTGTCTGTCACTGCCCCATTCAAACAAAATATATTAATAGTCGTGTATGTGTGTGTTTGTCTGTGGGAGCAACCATCACTCAGCAGTAGGAGTTCCAAATCAGTCGCTTGTGAGGAGAGATTTATGCTGTAATGCATCAAATCAACAAACCTTAACAGTAAAATATGATTTTATCAATAGGCCTGATCAATAGTGCATGCAAGACGCTGTGTAATTATTACAGAGGTCTGTATCAATAAAACTGTCACGCACGACCTCTCGCCAAAGGCTACGGAGCCAGGAGTCACAGACAGTCGAAGAGAGGTTTGTGCGTGGCCCTGAGATGTTTGATTACCTGAGAACACGGTTGTATCGTTGATGCATCATAACTTAACAGGACATGTTGGCTTAGATGAGAGTCAGGCAAGGAAAGTTTGAACAGCAGTGACAAACTGCTTCATGGCAACACATTTAAATGTATATGTTTATGACGCATTTTACCGACAAATTAATACTGCCGGTTCTGTTTGAGAGCTGTGGCTGTTGGTGAATTGCCTTTCCCTGCACCTCTGCAGACACAATAATGATAGAGGCACAGATCTTTACTCTAGTGAGGATCATTTGTCCCGAAGCGAAGCAATCCAAGAGTGGAAGGAAGAGTGTCAAAAAGAGCTTTGTATTTCACAGCAGAGGAGGAACTCGGCATTAACTTACAGACACACACAATCACATATACACACATACAGTAGAAAGAGCGTGAGGCAGGGACCAATGAGGCAGTTTATATCGGGATTTTGTTTCACAGCCACGGCCTCCTGGGAGAGAGGGGTCTGCCAATAACACTTAAGAGACAGAGCAGGAAAAGTAAGTGCTTTTATTACAGCTCATCACTCATGTAATTTCTGGCAGCATTTGTGATTACAGATCAAGTGATTGACTAACTACACATTCAGCGTCTGAGTTATGAACCGGGTGCCTACCATTCCAGCCCCGGCAGATTCTCCGTGTCAGCTGTAACTCATCCCTCTCCCAAGGTGCTAAATCAAAGAGCCCACTGCGGCCGGAAGAGTTAAATAATAACTTCAGCTTTATTGTAAATCTGTCAGAAATTTAACCTGCACGGACGTCGTCTCAGCCCTGATGTGGTACTGCATGGGGTGAATAGGCTGTAGGGAGGGGATCAATATAGGCCCTGATGGAGGTATTGATGGATGACAGGTGAAGAGGGTGTGTGTGTGTGTGAGCGCGTGTTTATGTATGGGTGTGTGTATGTGTGTGTAAGGGGTGGGATTGAATCACCCTGGGGTTCGGTAGAGAGCACGGCTCAGGGTGTTTAATCGACAGGTCTCACCTTGAATCGATTGGCAGGAGTCTCGCAGGGCAAAGACGTGATACACACAACCAACACTAACTCACACACACCAAAACAAACCATAGGGAGTGTGGGAGCCAGCGGGGTGGGATGAGGGAGAATGTCTCAATGCCATCAGTGCTGCATGGCTTTATCTCGGCAGTGTTGATGTTTTACACCCGCAAATGTAAAAAGATTTAATGAAGAGCACCTGTATTGTTTTACTTATCCCTCTCCTGAACCAGCTAATTTATACAGTTTAACATACTTAAAAAACAAAAAAAAAACTACATTTACAATTTAGTAAAACATGGGATCAAGGAAATAATAGCTTGGATGTTTTATTGAAGTGAAATGATTATGTGTGAAGTTCTTAACTTATATATCTAAATGTAAGAAATCCTTATTAGAGGAATGGTATTGTGGTATTGGTTGCACTGTGGCAAACAATCAGAGTACAAGGCTGATACATCAAGAAAGAACAGAAGAAAGTGACAGATAGAGAACCTCACAATTGGGTTGCCGTGAAAACGATGCACCGTGAAATGTCTTACAAGAGGCCAAGATGTGAGAGGGCTTGTGAGATGTGAGAGGGTTTTTAATAAGCATCATACTATCCTTTTTAAAATGCATACAGCTCAGTAATAATATACAGTGAAAAACTAAACCCTCTCAAGTTGTGTTGAAATGCTGTGACTCAATGACAGCAGTTTCTTCAGGCGGCTTTGGCCGTAGAAACTGAATCTAATGCTTTCAGATCAGGCCAAGGTTCATGAGTGTCGTTGACTGAGCTAGTTTGTAAGAGGAACACATTTGCCAAATCACAGTGTGGGGTAAAGTGGAGTCCCTTAATGCTGATTTGGAGCCTGTTTTGCAGAGCTCTTAGAGAGTAAAAGCGGCTGTTTGTCAGTCACCTTGGAGCCAAAACTATTTAGCCATAAATCAGTCCTCAGAACACACTTTATATAGCAGCTTTCTTTTCTTAAATTCAAAGCTTTTATCTTTGCTTTATTTTTGTATCTATTAATTTACTTTAGTAAGTTGGAATTGTGCCGACAATAAGAGCATTTCTCCGTTACATTTTCTCACTTAAGCATGTTTTCCATTATTTGGTTCTTTTATGCGTTCACTGCACTTTGTTGCTTTGTTTTTGAAAAGTGCTGTACAAATAAAGACATTATAAATGTAATCATAATTATGTGTACCAATAAAAGAATATGTAGAATTGAGTAGAGTGCAGGTTCTTCTTCCCCTGAGGAGACTTTTTGTGGGAAAAGAAAAAGTGAGATGCTGACCACTTTATGGATGTGCTGCGTAATATTGTGATTTCTGTATTTAGAAAATATTTTCGTTTCAAATAGTTGATGACCTGACATTAGAAAAGTATAAGATAAAAAAAATAAAACAACAGACAGATTTTCTTGGTCCAAGTTGAATCGGTGGATTCTTAATGTTTCTTCCTAAAAGTTCTCGAGGAGGAAACAGCTCTTTTGTGTGTGGGACTGTGCCTCAGAGGTTCAGAAGAAGAAGGAGTCGGAAAAAGAGAGGTTTTGACTTGTGGTCCCAGTTGAAAGGAAGAAAAGGACATCTGAACTGGTTGTCCAGCGCTCAGGTAGGGAGAAGAATTGTAAACTGGCGAGTTCATGTCAGTGTGAACTTCATTTCTTGAATGTTGAATGGAAACTACCCTCTGTTCTGCATGAGCTGGACATCTTCCAGGAAGTCTGAGTTCGGGTTGGGGTCTGAGTCTGGGACCCTGCAAAATGCTGCTCTCACTTCCAGACTTTGGGAGTACTTCAGTCAGATGTACAGATCTCCCCTGAAGAGAGAACCAAAACCATGTGTTACTGTTATTGTATAGTGTTCTGAGATGTTGCCTTTATGTTGGTGGAGATGACCAACATTACATATCTTGATGTAGAAATATTAAGTGAAAGACATATAGGCTTCATGATTACTAAACATAACATTCTTCTGAAGACATTTCCTTTTTCGACGTGTTCAGACTCGAGGGAATATCGAGGCTTTTAAACATAATTGTCCTCTGCTTACATTTTGTTAAATGTGGAGTAGCACTAAAAACTGCAAACCAGGCAGTGTATACTTGCTTTTTTCTTTTTTTTAAATCTCAGCAAGAGTCATAAAATGTCAGTGTAACAAGCAAGGGCTTGCAGGCCAGCAGTCCTGGGACATCAACACTGATCCAGATGTTTCCATTCATTCTTTCCATTCTCAACTATTTTAATAAACACAAATATGACCTCTGACCTTTCTGACATATATAAGGCAAAAATAGAATGAAGTATAGTACATTAAAAACATCTTTATTTCTCTTCGATCACAAACGCACCCTTTTCATGGAAAGCAAACTACCATTACTGTAAGTTCAACATTACTCCTTGTTGTTTGTGGTTACCACATTAACACTCACTTTTCCAGCTTCAGAGAAAGCTCTGCTTTGAGCTTGATGTCCTGTCAGAAGTCGGGGCAAAATGCCAGTATTGGTCCGGTACTGCTCTCCCTCCAACCTGGGTAAAAGATGCAAGGAAGTAAAGACTACGTCTCTGCTTTGATAGCTTCTGCACGGCCCTTCCTCAGCTCCCACGGTCCTGCTGTCCTGCAATGCTCCCTCTGAGCCGCTTGGTCAGATTTGATTGATGATTGGTCATTTCCTCTACTGTCCATCTCTGGCACTTTGGCAAATGCTATATTGTGTAATGCTCCATCTTCCTCATCTTTTTTTGGTCTGTCTTCATACTTTTCTTCTTCCTCTGGTCTCTTACTCTCTTTCTCTTGCTCCTCAGAGTCCTCTGGGCTCTCAAGACGGTGACGTGACTTGTGTTCAATCTTCCTGGAGTCCTGTCAGTAGGATCACATCATATATTAAGATCGTGCCTTATTGGAACAGCTGGTTTTTTAAGTTACTAATCCCTCTAACACTGCATAACTATCACAGCTAGAGGGTCAACTTACCAGGAGGTTTATAGAGGGCCGATTTAAGTTTTCTCTCCTTGCTTTCAGTAAAGACACTGGTCCGGCACTAGCTTGACTCCGGGGCTGAGGCTGTAGGGAGGCAGTTAGCATCAACCAAACAAACAGATAGGCCCCTCTTAAGAGAAATAGAAATCCCCTTTTGTAATAAAAAATACACCCATATATTTTTCAATACATGTAATAGACCGTATGTTTATAGAATACTTATATGCAATATATTGATTACATTAGGTACTGGTGAGTAACCATGAGGTAACTACCAGGGCTTTGTGTAAGGTTGGAGGACGTGTCATGATTTGACTTTGCTAACCAGATCTCTGCAGTGTTGTATCAGTGCTTAGTAAGCGGCTGTTAATGGATAGAAACCCTCCAAACAGTAGGAGGACTGCTTATTAAGCTGTGTTGTCTAATTTACTACTTCTAACAGAGTCAGCAGCTTATAGGTGTGTAAGCTTTGAAGGTATTTAAAGGGATTGTTGATGATACTTTGCTAAGACGCAAAAGTCATGTTAGGGCTTATTTCTTGAATTTAACTTTGGATTAATAAGATGAGAAATTTGACTGCTTTCCAATGTGCAACATTTTGTTATTCATTCAACATTTCAAATAACTTGCACAACAATAAAGTTGGTAGGAAAAACAATTGATAATGTTGCATAATTGCATCCCTAACACTCTGATTTCAGCATGGTTTTCTGGTTGTGTGTTCAGTAGTTATAAAGCGTGAATGTGTTTGTCTGCGTGCATGTGTATATTAGAGGTGAGTGGTGAATTGCTCTCGTAAGGTTGCCTTCATCTGCGCATAGAATAATTCTAATTGGCTTTATTAGGGGGCTTAAATCTAATACCAGCTCTGTGCTCTGCCTTAGGCTCTGTGGGCGTGTGTGTGAGTTTGTGTGTGCATGTGTGCGCGCACATGTGCACCTCTGTTTGATGTTTATGACTCACCAGATCTCTCTTAAAATGTTTTCAAACATAAGTAGATAAGCTAACGTTACATAAAAAAACAATATTCTGCCGCAGCACGTTGAAGCACAATTTTCCACTACTAGACTCAATAGGCAAATATCGCTTTCAGAGGTTCAAGTCCAATAAAGCAGCCGTCCAGTTTCACCAAATGTAATGATACAGACTTAAGGCAAGAGAAAAACTGCATGAAACTGAACCGCAACATTTGACCCCATTTAAAAACTTGATACCAATTAGAGAGTTCTGGTTGTAAATAATTTAAAAGATCTCTCTCACTGAACACACACACAAATAATTTTTACGTGCATGCACAGATGTATGCAGCAGTGTGCGTGTGCTTCAACACAGCTTCACACATTAACCTATGTGCACGCACACTCCTGTGCACAAATGGACGCGCACATGCACACACAGAGACTCTACCACGCTCTGGAAACAGACTTCTTAATGAAGCCTTCCCCAAGTGAAAGTAGAGCAGAAATACATACTGGCCCATTTCTGCCTTCAGTTCACTCTCTCTCTCTCTCTCTCACTCTCTCTCTCTCTCTCTCCCTCTCTCTCTCTCACCTTCTCCACGTCATTTGTTTTATTCATGTTTCCTTGTCTTTCTCTGTTGTCTCAATGAGCTAAATCACAACCCCTAATTTATGGCTACAGGCGAAGACAATTCTACAAACAAACTGGCTGATGAGAGGGGCTGACTGAAAACATACACACTGAGTGGTGTGTGTAAATCTTAAGTGTCTGTTGCTGTCTTTTTATCTATGGTTATTTACATAGGAAATGACAACATGTGCAAAAGAATGGCTGTGATGCAAAATGAAAAAAGGCTGTGCACTGGATGAGAGGGGAAGTGAGGGAGAGAGAGTGAGGGAGAGAGAGAGAGGGGAGGGAGGAAGAGTAAATCCAGTGACACTGAGTGGGGAGCACTCAGGTGTGGTGAAGAGGATTATACAAAACCGTGAGTATGAATGACAGTAAACACCTGAATGACAGAGAGACGGGGAGGGGCAGGAGCTCCTGTGTGTGTGTGTGTGTGTGTGTGTGTGTGGTGTTCTGGGTTGACAGTTTAGTGGCCCTGGCTGATATTCTGAGGGGTGAGCGAATATAAACTCAACACTTCATCTGTGCAAGGCGTTGCTGTTTACTCAAGTGCAACTTGTTATAGTGTATCATTCATTACAGATATGTTGATTTACAGCATGTACAACAGAAGTGAAAACAATGAATAAAAGAGGATTTGAGAAGCAAACAATGGACGTGTGAGAATGAGGATGTCAACAAGGCAGGCAGGGAGTGTGCAACAGGAAGATATCAATCAGAAGCAATCCATGGCAAGAGTTTGGGAGCTTTCGAGTTAGCAAGTGAGCAACAGCTGTAACAGCTGTATGGTATGCAAGTAATTCAATAAAAGAGCTATAAAGAAAGACACAGGAGGTATGTTTATCTTACTTGGTCTGTGTTTTCTTTCTCTGTGTGCTCCATCAGTAGAGGATTACTGACAAGGTTTCTGAAGCGAGCTTCAGTTTCTGGCTGAGGACATTCTCCATTCTGCTTGTGGCTGCCTGAAAGAGCAAACACACTTTGATCATCTCAAATCGACATGTTAAACTCACTTTTTTTGTCTTCTTTAATCCAACCTTCTGTTTATTTCATGACTTCTCAATAGCCATGTCATTCAAAAGAAGAGTGCGTCAATTTCTACAGCGGTGCATCTGAGTAATCTGAAGGCATGTCAATCTATTTAATGCTACATTATCAGTATGAGCCTGCTGCTTTATTCTCAACTTGTATGCTTTACTTGGAACAACAACATTTTTTTTGTATGCAAGCTATTAGCCGTAGTGCCAACATATTCACCCCCTGTAGTTGAAAGCTCAAATGTGTTTTTAACCTTTGGCTTAAGGTTCAATTCAGAAGAGAGCAATGCATGTCGATTCCTAGATCAGCTCTAAGTGAAATCCCTCACCTCTAGAGCTATATCACTGTACAGCGCTGACTCTACATGAAGCGTGACCCCGTTTCCCCCACGGCGACCCCCTCCTTCCCTTCACAGCCTTGGAAGATAGAGGAGCACAGGGGAAAGGCATGCCAAGGCAGTAGACACTTTTAAGCAAAGATTAAAGGTTTTTCTTTTTAATCAGTCATTTGGCAGCTATGTTAGCATTTCACCCTGCGCGGCTAAGGATCAATTTTTAATGCTGCTGTGCAGAGAGCAGACAGGGTGATTGGCAAGAGAGAAGCTATTTACAAAGGATCTATTTACAAATTTTCCATAGAAATATGCAGAGAGCATAATTGACATCTCTTAAAGAATTTTAAATAAGCTCACTCTTTTTCTCACACCATCACGAGGCACGACCTCTGTGAGCCCCTGGTGATCACTGCTCTGTGTGTGTGTGTGTGTGTGTGTGTGTGTGTTCACTCATATGTAAGAATAATAAAGGAACCTACACCTCTCCCCTGTGTTGCATTGTGTTACATTTCTCCATGTTGTGCTGCCAGAGGCTGGGTAACTAGGTCAATCAACCCTGGTGTAAACACATCACAAGAACCCACACAGAACATGCTAATGACAATGACTCGTTTTAACTTCATAATTCTTTATTTCCCCCACTCTTCTATGCCAAAATGAAGCTTTAGATATACAGCATAATTCCTTCAGGGATTCCAACTTAAGCTTTTGTATGTCTAAGGAAAAGGTAGCTTGCTCCCATATATGCGAACATGCCCTCTTCAGAAAACAAAAACAAAACAAAAAACAAACTGCAGTAGAAGTTTAAAATTTTGGACAATGCATACAGAAATATCATGTGTTGTTTATACATTGACTTTGTATAAAGAAGTGTATATTGACCATGACAAGCATTTAAATGACTTGAACCGACAGTAAATCTGTGTCCATATTGAAAGGGTGATCGTTGAGGTGTTTTAAGGACAGACTGGACAGAATTCTGTGAGGCAGACGACAGAGACGGCAGACAAATAACATGTTCAGACCCACACAAGTTCGTGTTTGGGCCGACCTGACACGGCTGCCCCCTCCATACATCAGTCTTCATAACCATCCATGAATCAATCCATATATCCATCCATCCATTACCCAACCGTCCATTCATCCGTTCTCAAACTATCCATTCATTCAAGCAGTAAACCTGGCCTTCCAGCCGACCAACCCACACACAATTGATCCAATGATTGACCCTGCACAGGGTGGATCAATACTTTCTTGAATGGCATCATTGTAAGCGCTTAGGCACAATGGCCAGGCATTGTTTGTGCAGTTCATTTCCAAGGTAGCAAGGCCATACAGGGCTCTAACCCGAGTCAACTCTGCTTTCTCCTCCGATTATATGATCACAGCAAAGAGGGAAAAAAGGGGAGGGCATTGAAAAAGGCTTTGAGCAGGGAGCATCCTGCACACAAGCAACAAAAGGGACAGTGGTCTTCGCAATACTGCTTGTAATGACTTGTGGCAATTTGACGCTACAGAAAAAGATGGCTGTGTAGTCGCAGTCGTTTTACAGACATACACTGTAGTTTTTTAGTGGAAGAATTACTGCATATGAATGCATCAAAGGTAAAACTTACTGGATTAACCTGGAGGAGCAGCAGTATTCAATAGACTTGGGTTCAGTATATCACCCTGTAGCCTATTGTGTCCTGGTGTGCATACAGAAACCCTGTTGGGTTAGAGCCAGGGCTGGGTCTTGGCATTAAATGACTGGGACCTTGACAAGTCTCAGAGTTCTGTCACTGCGGTTCACAGGTCTCGTTAGCCAAGGTGTCGGCAGGGGTGGAAATGACTCTGTGTGAGTGTGTCTGTGTGTGTGTATGTGTGTGTGTGTTTGAGGGGAGCATTAGACAGCACTCCTACCTCCACCTCCTCACCTGACACCAGCAATAAAACTAAACAGGGCGAGGTGCTATGCTGTGTGTGTGGTTGTGTGTGGACGTGCACAGCGGGAAAAAGGGTGCATGTGTGCTGCAGGGTTGTTGCTGCTGTCACCAATTTGCTGGGGCCTCCAGACGGGAGTAGGAGCAAGGTGACGGAGCTGTGGCTTGATAAACACAGAAGCCCTGCTTCGATTTCCCATCCAGTCCACTTTGGAAACACATGGCTCTTCCTGGGCGCTCCTTGGCCAGGGGAAAAGGAGGAGGAAGAGGAGGAGAAGAAGGAGGGGGCCACAGGGGGAAAGGAGGAAGGTGGAGAGCCACTAGAGAGACACAGTGATGGGTGTGAAGTGAGGGAGAATGGAAGTCTGGATGAAGGTTCAGAGAGAGAGAAATGGACGTGAGGAAGAGTGTGAGGTAAGGGATGAAAAAATGTGACAGGCCTCGTGGGATCAGATGTATAAACTTCCAAGCAGATGACACACCTTGCATGCACCCACTGAATGACAACACAGATAAAGACAGAGGGAAAAAGAAAGTTTAAGAAAGGACAGGACATTTTAAAAAGAGACGGATGAGGAATTTGATGGACCCTCTAAACCACTTAAACGCTTAAAAGCTCCTTTAAAGGTGAAAACAGAGACACACAACCTAGACCTGCTCTTCTTAGTCCCCCTCCCTCAATCCTTCATTTCACCCATTCCCTCCATCTCTTATACCTCTTTTTTTTTTGCTCTGAAACAACTTGCAGTGTTCTGCCTTTCATCTGACATCAGAAGTTTAAAGACCAGCTCCAGTTGGAGGAGCAGAGGAGTGTCAGTGAGGGAGGTGAGGCACCAAACTCCCTTCTGCCCCCCTAGAGAGTTAAGGAGATCACATTTTAAACCCCCCCCCCCCACACACACACACACACACACACACACACTCACCGAACTCCACCCTGCCGCTCCTCTCCTCCATGCCTTAATACCAACATAAGAGGACAAGTGTGGGCTCTAAGCACCAGTGATCAAACACGAGCGGCTGCTGGGTGCGTTTGGCTCAGGACGGTTGGCCTAATAGGATTGGAAGCCCCCAGGTGAGCCAAAGGACACCTCCAATCAGCATGATTAACCAAAGGCTGAGCAGCGTTTCTAGCTATAGCACTGAGTGATGTACAGTGCTAAAAGGATCACATGGAAAGTAAAGAATGTAAGAAAGTCATGAAGTGAAGTGCCACGGTTGTTGGTGCATGTCAAAGTTTTGATGGAGTATAAAGTTGCATTTTAAACGTTACAAAACGTTACATATAATGATAGCTAAGTTCAAATAAGCGCATGATGTGTGGAGCTGTGGAATAATCGTGTCTTTCTGGTTACTTTTTAAAACAGCATGTGTTGTAAACATTTCTGTGCACGGCTTTAATGCAAGACTACCCATGAAAAGGCACATGTAATTTGCATGCTCACATAGTAGAAGTCTCATTATTGACATGTTCAATCACAAATACATGCACGGACAAACACACGCAGATTGCAAGCCCAGACACATACATCAACACATGCACACTCAGACAGGCTTTTATAAACTCATCACATCCAAAAAACAATTACCAGAGACTGAGCTCATCACTGACTAAGCAAAAGTCATCCAGCGTGTAAAACACACAATATAATTAGCACACATCAAGCCGCTGTGTCCTACTGTGCATTAATGATGCTTCCCTCTGAAGTGAATTATGGTTTGATGAGTGAGAAAGTGAGTGAGGAGGGGCTTTGAGGAGGAGCAAGACATCATTTAGAGACGGAAAAGGGGAAGCCAGTGTAGAGGGGAAATACAAAAACTGAATTTGCCTTCAAAATAATTAACCAGAGAGATAGAACATTGAGAGACGAATCACTGATTACTCACATGTGGTGAGGGCCATCATATGCCAGGAACCACAGGCTACATCACACACCTGCATAGAATGAAATCAGGTTTTATACTTTAAAGCACTACAGCAAGTGCATTGAGTAAATGACATTTTCTAGTTTATTGCTAGCACTTCCTGCTGAACACAGATTTCTGATGTTTGTGACTCAGTGTGAAAAGCTTATGAATGTATGCTTATCCTGCTTAAAGTAATTTCCTGAGAAAATCCTTGAGCTTTCATCTATCTGAGATTTAAAAAAAAAAAAAAAAAAAAATATATATATATATATATATATATATATATATATATATATATATATATATATCCAGTCTCTCATACACACCTTTCTGCCTGCCAGTGGAACAGGCTGGGGGGTCCAGATCCTTTTGAGGCCTGTATGATCACTGACCCGGGACAAGCAGTGGATCTGACCCCAGAGAAGCAGCTCTCCTCCTGCTGGAGGTATAAACAAAGAGTAAAAATGTTCAGACAGCTACACCAGACTTACATACAATGTCACCTTGCAGCATATTTTATGTCAGAACTTATATCTTCAGTACGAACAGCAAATGAGCCTCATATGACGATGTGTTGGTATGCACTTCAAATGATTCTGACCTTCTCAAATGTATTGCCAAATTGTGATAGTATATCCTGATTATATTAACATGGGGCAGTTAAAAAAAACAGGCACATTTTGCTTTCATGCTGAGAAAACACAAACAAAGTGCTTAAAGTGTCCAGTGTACCACAGATGAGCTTTCTGCT